TTAAAACTATTTTTTTCGGATATATTGTAATTTAGTTTTTGTATTTGAAGAAAAAAATTGGGTCATCTATAATAAATTTTACAAGAATATTAGCAAAACTTAAATAAATTTGACCATCAAAATAATAAATCTAAATTTGTCATTGAAACAAAAAAAATAAAAAATAAAAAAATATATTTGAGGAGGATTAAAATATACCCATATGGGGATTATATTTTTTTAAAATAATTAAAAAAATTAAACTAAAATTAATTTTTTCACTTCCATTAGAGGAAAAGGGCATATGTGAGCCATTTGTATAACAATAGGGGTATATATGAGCCACTTTTATAATGAGGGGTATATCAGCTCTAAATGACAAAGTTGAGGGGTATATCAGACCCTTTTCCCTTTAATAAATATATCAATTCATGACCTTATTTTATACGAAAGGGGAACATGAATCATAATTTCATTCCAACCGGGAATCTTTTCTATTTTTTTGTTTGTTTTGTTTCGCTTGATTCTATTATTCTATTGTTTTAAGAATATTTTAGAAATTTGAAGTTAAAATGGAAAAATTACCCTTTAGTATTCCTATTTCATTACTGAACTACTGGAAATATCTAATCAGAATTACTTTTCTAATTCTTGTTCATGTATTTTTGTTACTTCACTCAAAAAATCATTCAACTCGAAAGAATATATCCAATTGCTTTTTAATCACATATCACCTAAATTTTTAAGTCACTAACTATACATACAAACACATAAACCACATTCCATCATGGTAAGACATGCAAAGAATATAATAAAGTCATGATTAGAACTTGTCTTAGGACTTAGTTTTCACCTTAATTAATTATAATTATTTTCCTTAAAAAAAGAAAAAAAGATGAATCTTTTAGAGTAATATCAATATGTCATGTGCAATACAAACGTGGTTACACATATAAGACTTTCCATACTTCACTACACATCTAATTCATGTTAATTATTTGACACTCATTATCCAACTATTGCTTATCTTATTATAAAATTATATATTATATACTATAAAAATGAGCCAGCAAAGCTACGTGACAATTAATTTTTATTAGTCTCCAACCTTTGTGGGTGACAGATGGATTTTCAGTTTTATATATGAAAATTCCCAATTGTTGGATTTTTATAACAGACAAGACAAGCGAATTTAAAAGTTAAACTTTAAAAGATTAATATTTAAGTTTTTAACATTAAAATGATTATTATTTTAAAATTTCTAGACATGAATTTATATGCTCAACATTCAAACTTTGATGAATTCATATGAACTTGATACTGAAAGACTAAATTTGTACCTTCCACTATTCGAAATTTACTTACTACTTCAGATGGAATGATATTCAGACAATTTTTTTGTCATTAATTCCAACACTCTATTTTCTGATAGGAAAATCTTATTTGCATATGAATATATCCGTCTAAAATTAGTGTATTTCTAAAAGATCATTATATTCTGTTCATTTCGTAAGTGATCAAAAAATTTAGTTATGTACATATTTTGAATTACAATGGTCATTGTCCTACCTTGAGTTCTCTCCATCCAATTCTCCCCATTTATCTCTCATTAATCATTAATTATCTACTCTTTTAAACCTCCCTATAATTGATAGATAAAATACTAATTAACCTCACTTACTATATACATCAATTTCTAGTGGTGCAATTTTTCTCACTCCATTGACTACTTTTCTCACATTCACTATATTTACATATCATCAACTCTTCTACCATCAAACCATCCTCTTTTTGTGTTTTTTCTCCCTTCTTTTCTCTCATTCCTCAAAAAAAAAGAAAAAAATTTGCTTTCATTTCACATATATTTTTTTGTTTTTAGGGTTAATTAATGTGTAAAACATTTGATGTTGGATAAAGGGAAATTATGGAGGCTCTTGAGGAAGTGGTAGTTTGTCCTTCTAAGGACCTCTTCCACATCGTTAAGGGCAAAAGAACCAAACGTCTTAGACTTCAATCTCCAAATATCCCTTTCTCCCTCACAACATCACATGATTCATTAAACGCATGTGATATCGCGATAGAAAATAGCAGTAACAACAACAATAACAATATTATCAACAATATTGATAACGATAATAGAGATGATGTTGCTTGCAATGATGAAGGCATTGCATGTAATGACAACAACATTAGCAACAACAACAACAACAACAATAATAATGAAGCTCTGTCTTCAGCCGCCTCGTCTGAGGTGTTTATCAACACGTTTACCGAGGAGGAGGAGGAAACCGCCAAGTGTCTTGTCCTATTGTCTAAAGGACGCAATGACCATCCCCCTCCTCGTAGGTTGATCAATAATAATAATGTCGATTTTTTCAACGAGGATTTAAGGTTGTACCCAACGAAATTCAATAGTAAAAGGTACATTGAGACATCCACCAACTCCATAGATGGTACAAAAGCAGGAATATACGTGTACGAATGCAAGACATGCAATCGTACATTCTCGTCTTTTCAAGCACTAGGTGGACACAGAGCAAGTCATAAGAAGCCAAAGACATTAAACACCGAGTTTAACAAGAAATCATATTTCGATTTCTCAGATGAAGATGATTATCATTTACAACACTCACCATCAACATTGTACAACAAAAACAAGAATACTAACAACATCAACAAAAACTTGCCAAATTCTTCCAACAACAAGTACTCTTCTTCTTCTCCTAGAATTCATGAATGTTCATATTGTGGTGCTGAATTTACCTCAGGACAAGCATTAGGTGGTCACATGAGACGCCATCGTGGGGGCGCTAACGTAAATTCACCTTATCATTTGAGCAATTTAAGTCCAGCAACTTCTATAGATCAAGAATTTGGTAACAATAATAATATTATGAAGAAACAAAGAGATCATGAGTTGTCTTTAGACCTTAATAATCTTCCAGTTCATCAAGATGATCATCCTGTTGTATCCTTAAAGCAACAAGATCAAGAACAAACACAAAGGCAACTTGTTGATTGTCATTATTGACAATAATGCAGGTTTATTTTTTTTACTTTTTAACCATACAACTATATAGTAAATATTTCTCTCATTGTTAAATACAAATTATTTTTATTCTTTAACATCAATTGAGTGGGTATTATAGTAAAAGTCACTTAGTATTTTTTTTTTTATGGTGCCAGCTTTATTTGCTTCATGTTAATTCTCATGCTACATGAATCAACATTCATGCCGAGGGTCTATCGGAAATGTTATTTCTACCCCACAAAGATAGAGATAACGTTTGTGCATATCTTATTCTTTTTATATTTGTAAAATTACACTGACTATATTATTATTGTTAATTAACATGCATACATATCCTTTTTGAGGATCTACGGTCCATTAGAGTTGGTTGATTAGCTAGCATTGACCTTTTAATTAAGTTAGGTCTTTAATTTGAATTGTACATCACCTTTTTCTTATTCCCGTCATTACATTTTATGTGAAAATATTTGATTGAACATATGATGAGTTAAAGAAGACGTGTGACATGTAAGCCACACATACAATATAATATAACGTACCAATATTCTTTTATAAATATAGTGGTGAGAATTTCAAATGTCTTTTAGTGGAGGCAAAGTCCTAACAAGTCATGCTATTAAAATAAAATTAACACCTAGTGGTATTCACAGTTCCATTATAAATCTTGGATCTTCACATGCAATTTCTTATATACACTTATCACAAGATTGACAATACACACACAACAAGAAAGGATCCTCCCATTTTCTTTCTAATGAAGCTTTTGTTTAACAAGTGACCTTTTAGATGCATGCATGTGTAATTCAATTTAATTATTTATAGCCATTTTCAATTTAGTTCTTTTTAGTCAGCTTGTGCATACCTTGATTATTCCACCAGATACCAACAACTATCTCCCACTAGCACAAATATCAAGTATTAAGCTTACCATGTATTTTTGCAAGAAGTTGTTCACACAATTACTCGAACCCATAACCTCTAATCACATGGCAACAACGGTATCAATTACGCCAAGTCTCCCTTTTTAGTTTCCTTTCTTGATTCAAAATATTGGAAAAAGTAATTTGTGAAAAGGCATGCATATCATATTCCAAGTGGAGATTTGGTTGTGGAAGACAAGTAACTTGCATGAAAGAATTATTTAGGTTTGTGTATTGCACGTAAGGAAAGTTGTTGCAAGAGACAGGCAAAGTTCACTTCATGTCCTAAACCTACCCCTTTTTTATCCTTTCATTAATTTGATAACACATGAATAATCACACAATTCGATATAGTATTAAAACAAATAGAGATACTACATTCACGTCTCACCATCATCATTGACAAAAAAAATAAAAATTTAAATGTTTTGTCTAAGAAAAATTTATTAGACCTGAATATATTATCATCTACTAGGTACTATTCTTCTACACTCCTCCAAACGACACCCGAAGTCTCTTATCTAAAATGACCGACATGGAAATCTGACAAGTTGACTCTTAAAATTTGACACAAAATAAGAACTTAAACAACTAGAATAACAAATATTTGAATTTAAGACACTAGTATTACACAAATATTTAACTTATTAATTCTCTCTGATTATTATCAACTTAATAATAAAACATAATCATTTTTCTGGCAACTTCCCTGTTGAATAACCAGAGAACTGGGATTATTTTTGTGGTATATTTATTTATTGATTCTCCAGGGCCAATTTTCTAGAACTGAACATAACAAGTTACAGTTCATGTACCTTGCGTAAATGTTGCTGAACTGTGAAAGTGATAATACACGAGCATAACTCACCGATCCAGGTTTCCCTTTTTATGAAGAGCAAACGGAATTTTACCGAGGCTGAACAAACACAGAAGTTGTTCGGGCAGGCACGTTAAAGCAACCCGAGGATGCATCATATGTTGAGTTCTTAACAACGTCAGTTGAGTTCATCTGGAGATGCAACAATGAACGTCATATGATCAGTAGCTAGTCATGCATGAAGATGAGATTGTGTTAATACTTAAGACACTTGCAGACTGCAGTAAAGGCCCAAATCCGACCTAACAATGTCCAAGATGTTTAAGTTCCATACACAATCCCCCTCTTTATAAACTCCGCAGAGAGGCTTGTAACATGTGTTTTACGGAAGTAGATTAAATAGTCTGGCATATTCGGATATGCATGTAAGAATTGCAACATAAAACAAATAAATACCTGTACTGGATGCAACTGAAGAGATTTTGCTTTTAGTGCAAGATTGGCAAATGAGACATCAGTTGGGCAAGGATTAATGATGACAACTATATAGGAATAACTGGTAAAATGAGAAAAAAAAATATCGTCATTCAATTAATGGTTCAGGTATATATCAACAGAAAAAAGGAGCAGTTCGGAAGCCTAACGATGGATTAGATTTACCCACATTGGATCCAATTGAGAGAGCCCTGGAACTCCCTGGTGGCCATCTTCAATGCTCATTACTATAAGTCCAGGAATCCATGAAGGACCAGTATTGTGAAATCGTACTCTTTCCTGGTGAAAGATGTCAATTTGTGACGTTGAAACACAGAAGTAATTGCACAATACTGAAGAAACAACAACAACATACCCAGTGTAATCCCACAAATGAGGGTCTGGGGAGGGTGGTGTGTAGGCAGCCTTACCCCTACCTTGTGAAGAGAGAGAGGCTGTTTTGAGTAGACCCTCGGCACAATACTGAAGAAAAAGTAGCCAAAATATTTTCATTAGACTTCATCGATATGTATTTAAATTCTAACCTGGATAGCATTGGCCGTCTTTAACCGGAAGAGTGGTGAGGAGTATCGTATTTGCATTAGATTCAAAAAGTTTTCAACAGCTGCAAGGATATGACTCTTCTGAGGCTTGTAGGATGGATCTGCTAGTCTTGGTTTGATTCTGAAAATAGAAACAAAGATGGAAGTACTTTTAGACAGGTTACAAATAGGAAAACCATCTTGATTGTATGTATCAGAACTTCACCAAAGAACACGTGCATTTCACCCCATCCAACCACCCCACTGCCCCAAAGAGAAAAGTCCCAACTCTATCTTTTTCTCATGGAGGAAATATAAAGGTAAAGGGTAGTAATGAAATCACTAACAGTGGCCAGTTTCTTTCATTCTTCTCTTTCGGAGGGATGCCAACACCCCAGTTGTTAGAGTTGTAGCTAAAGTCCAGCCTGAAAAATCACAGTATACAAACATCCACTATATAAAGGAAAACATTAACTAGAAGTAAAAGAAGAAAGTAAGATTGAGGACCAGAAAAGACGTCATTATCTAAAACAGAAAATGAACAGTAAAAAGCAAGTCATCCTAGATTCTAAATTATCAAAACACAAGTCACTGAAGAAAGTAACTTGCAAAAGGGAGAGGTGGTGGACCTGTTGAACCAATCACCAGAGTTGTAGGAGTCACGGTCTATTGATTTTGAGCGCAGCATTTCATCTCCAGCGTGGAAAAACGGTATTCCCTGTGAAAGGTTAGCAAGATCAGTACTGCAAGATGAAGAAAAAATATCACAATCAAACTAACTTAAAAGTTAGCATGATAAGTATGTGTTTTACTTAATTTATCATGCAAATCAAAATAGTAACATTGAGTTTGATCTGTGTAGTTTCCCTATCGTCAACCATAAACATCATACCTGCATATCTTTCTATAGCAAATTGAAAAAGGACTCGAAAACAATAAAACTTCGCTTCTTTTTTTCTTTTTATGGAAACCTATAACATTCTCTTTCCGAGGCTCAATACAAGGAAAAACACATAGGATCTACAGCTTAGGGGTTACAGCAACATTATTTAAGCCATTAAGATAATATCATTAGCTATCATATTCCTAACAACTGATCAAGCAGAACAGGCAGTTTTGATTCTAGCCTACTTGTGGTCCATTTTCAGTTAAAAGATTGGACCATTCATTTAAAAGATTGGACCAAAACTAATAAAAAGTTAAAAACCGCTATATGAATCCTCTATATCCATTCAGCTCCATTTGGATCCTTTCCGTTACAATGCTCAATAATTTGTATTTAAGACAATTTAGGTTTTTTTACACTAGAGATCCTCTATCTCCGTAGCGTCCTTGCATTGGCATGCATATCTCTAAACAAACTAAAAAAGATACTGCTCAACACCAGACTTAATGCAAGTGTACCAATATGACTAAGACTTTAATTCCAACTAATTGATATCTACATTTGGATCTATTAGTTTCCATTATGTTCAATTCTTCGTAAGTTTGTATAGATTTCTAGAGATTGTAGATGTTTTGGTACAACTTCCATTCTATGTGATTTTAGATCTACCTAATCCTCTTTAACGCTTTCAATTGTCATAATGCCACACCAATAGACTAGTGCATTTGAAGGTTTACCTGGGACATGACCAAACCATCTCAGGTGACCATGTCTCATCATATCCTCTATTTGTGCTACTTGTATATTCTGTCAAATGTGATCATTTTTAATTTTATATAACAGTAGATCATTCTTATTATAGGTAAAAATATTAGTTATATGTATTTCTACGACACTCATTGTGTGGACATGTAAGGCCTTGGAGGCCCAACACTCACCCATATTATCTTTGCTAGTCTCAAACACTCACCCATATAGAACTGTCTTTTTTACTTCAGCAAGTATCTTCCTATCAACATGACCCAAAAGTAAACGTAGAACAAAGAAGCTTTAACAAGATTTTACTTGCACCAGCATACCTGTAAATATACATTAACATATAGAAAGTAGGTAAAAGTAAAGTATAAGGCACGTTAATTCTTCCAAGGAACAAACTGAATCTGACCTGAGAAAGGGCTATTACACTGGTCGCTAAGTGGTTCATCCTGCATCTCTCCTCCACAGAAATGTCCTTTGGAGTCTATCAAAGTGAAGCAACTAATTTATACAGGAACAGAAACAATGGATGTATAGGTTGCATACTTGCATATTACCTATCGAGTTTCAGACCGTGTGCCATTGGTCTTCAAGTATTTCTTGGTTATCAAAAAAGAAAAAAAAGGTGGCATATTGCAAGAGAAAAAATTACCTTAAGACTAATGATGTCAAACAGTGTCTCATTGTCATGAGCAGACACGTAGTTAACCTGCATATAACAAAAGCAATTACATTGTTTTGGAATGTATTTCCAAGTAGAATTAACTGGGAAAAATGTCTGACAAGATTATGATAGCGTTAATGATGCAGTAAATATAGCTCTCACTGAAATGAAGTTGTTCAATCATAAATAACAATAGACACATAGTTCCTTACTGTTTCAACAGGAGAAGAAGCATATCCAACTGGCTTCCCGTCATACATTAGCACTTCAGATCCTTTCACCTGGGTAAGAAGAGTATACAGTATTCAACATATCTCCAGTGTCAAGTTATGTTTGTACATTCTAAAAGATAAACTTTCAGTTCAGCTCGAAACGTGGTCCTCTGTGAAACTTGCCTTAGGCAAATCCGACATCAGAAAGGGAGGCCTGTGAGGGTGAGTTTAGGATCAACTGTCAAGGCGGTCTTAATATAAATGCATCTTTTGAATATTTCACTTGAGAACATTTTGCAGCTAGTAGTATTTTTCATTAGTTTCTACTTTCTAAGACTCTGAAGTTTTATATCCAAAAGAAGATTCATGCAAATGCATTCCACATGGATTTCTGGTCAGATCGACCCTTAGGAAGATAAAAATGATTATCTATTTGGGGCATAGGAAAAAGTTAATACATGCATTTATTTAGCTGGGCAAACTTACCACACTTCATGGTAAAGTTTTCATTGACAAAATTATTTCATGACCTTTGCAGTCAAATGTAGAATCAAGGCCGGGAAAACTGCATCTGGGACATGGAAAAAAAAAAACTCTATGCCCCTGGCTGTCGACATAAACCAAAAAGCACGCAGCTTTGACAGAAGTACAATTATAACACTTGGTATGACTCACAATTCACAAACAACCCAAATCAGTCCTAATTTGTTTTTGCAGTATCAAAAGGATGTAACAAAAAGGATAGCAGATCAAGCTAATAAGATGAAAAAAATGATTAAATCGGTCAACAATATTAGATTTTAATAAATTGGACCAGACCTACTTATTTAATAGTACGCCCTAATACATCATAAAAGTTTTCTTTGGCTTATTGGCTAATGAACCTATCAAAGAAACAATAGGTACAAGAGTATCGACTTTCTTAATTGCCTTGGTGATTAGAAATGAATAGTAATAATTATCTACAACTTCAATCGTAATGATCATCAGAAATAAACAGTAACAATTATCTTATAACTTCAATTGTAATGAATTGCAATGTCATTGTGATGTGAACATGATGCAAAGCAAATAGCAATCGAATCTATGGATACCTCTTGACCATCACAGTTCGTTAGCACAA